TTCATAATTTTAAAACCAGGTATGATAGGGAAATGGGACAGGAGTCATTGCTGTAAACAACCGATGCTCGAAAGGCGGGATCCAAGAGTCAATGCTCGATCCTGCAGACACAACTAGGTGAGTACACACAAACACACACACACACACACACACACACACACACACACACACACACACACACACACACACACACACACACACACACACACACACACACACACACACACACACACACACACACACAATATTAACAACAATAATAAAACAAACAATAAAAACAAAGAAAGATAGAACTAAAAAGGGTGAGGGAGAGATGAGAGTAAGAGAGGAGGGCAGTAAACAGGAAGATGAGGGAGTAAGACAACACCCAGGACACAGCCACGCCCACCGGGAGACACACCAGCAACTCCCTCAAATAAGCAACACAGTACAAAGTCAAATGAGTGGCAACATAATGAACAAGCAGCTACAAACCCCAGGCAGAAGGATTCAGTTCCCAGTCCTAGCAATCTCCCAATGAATGTCAATCACTAGTTTCTACACTCTTCCCCCTCCTAGTCCCTAAGCCCCACAAATCCCACTTCATCACACCCCTGACTCCTACCCAGTGGCTCACAAACACCTCCCCCTCCCCCCTGCTCTCTCTCACACTTCTCAAATGCATCCCGAAGCTAACCTAGATCTTACACCAAGGCTAGAAACTAACCAATCAGATGACAGGACAACAATGCAACCCGTCCTCTCAGAAATTACGTCGCTTTTCGCTCGTATGCGTAGCGCATACGAGCGAACGAGGTCAAATATCGACGTAATTCAAAATGGAAATTTATTTTTCAATTCAATTTTGCATTTTTGTTTTCCAAAACAGCAAGTTAAGGGTCCTCTGCTAAGTTAGGAGGGCAGGAAGTTTTCCTAAAATTTCAAAACGTCATGAAAACCGTTATTTAACAGTTTCCTCTCCAAACCTAACAGCCTAAGCCAGAGGACCCAAAACAAAAAATGGGACAGTACATCACTTTCGTGAGCCAATTTCATTTTGTATTATGTCGATTTTTAGCCTGAGTGCGCATACAAGCGAAAAGCGACGTAATTTGTATGAGGACGGGTTGTGTTGACCCTGAAGATCTGGTACACTAATGCTGATGGAATGCCAAATAAAGCAGATGAACTCAAACAAAGGACTGAGGAAACAGATCATGACGTAAAAGCAGTAGTAGAGATCAAACTAACTGCTATGATTAGCAATGCAATATTACCAAGGGAATACCAAATAATGAGACGTGAAAGACTTCAAAGAAGAGAAGGAAGAGTGGCGGTGCAATTAAAAAGACACTTCATGAACTCATTGTGGGAATGAGTTCATATGGGGGTTGCTACATAGCCTTCCCGGCTTGGTGCCTTCTTTGATAATTACTTACTTCATCTGAGGAGAGAAAGTGATTGTTACTGTAATCTCCAACCCTCCAGAGAACCATAGAACACCGAGGCAAGAATATGAAACTGCGAACAGAGCATGCTTGAATATCCTTCAAAGGGTGGCAGATACAGCCCACAGACAGAAAGCAAAACTCCTAGTAATGGGAGACTTCAATCATGGCAAATCGACTGGGAAACAATAGACCCAAGAGGATAGGATGAGACACGGAAAGCGAAAGTTGTAGAAGTAGTAGAGAGGAACTTCCTGAAGCAACATGTCAGAGAGGTAGCAAGGAGAAGGGGTGATGACTAACCAGCTAGGCTACAGCTAGTCTTCACACAAAATGATTTATGGACACTGAATACATTGACCATGATATGCCAGACAGAGCCGGTGACCACTGTGTTTTAGTCTTGGAATACAAAGTGCCAAGGAAGACCAAAGTAAGATGTAACCAGAGGGAGAGTGTAAGGCTAGCATACAGGAGAGGAGAATACCGTAAAGTTAGAGAGGTGGTAGAGTGGGGGAAGAGAACTCAGAGAAAAATCAATACACTGGACATAATGGACTACGTAACAAACAAGTTCAAAAAAATTGAAGGGAGATTTATAGCACCACTAAGGGTTCAGGGAAGAAAGACGAGCATTACCCCTTGGTTCAACAAACAGTGTCTGAAATAAAAAAAGAAACAAAAGGGTTTGGAAGAAATATAAAGAACACAGAACAGAAGGAAATCACAATGCGTATAAAGAGGCCAGAAATGAGTACACAGAAACTAGGAGAGTGACAGAGAAACAGTATGAGAATAACATTGCAAACAAGGCCAAAACCAAAACCAGCCAAAACTCTTCCATAGCAATATCAGAAGGAAGATGACTGTGAATTATCAAGTTATCAGACTTGAAAAAAGGAACGAAAGGAAGTAAGGACACACAAAAAATGATAAGGAGTATGTGAGGAACTTGACCAAGGCTTTCAGGAAGTGTTCAAGATGGAAACTGATTTGCTGCTGAAGCTTAGAAACCAAACCGAAAGGGCAAACCTCACTTAAATACCAGTGACGCCAGAAGAAGTAAAGAAATTACTGCAGGAACTGGATTTGACACAAGCCGTGGGACCAGACAAGATATCGCCATGGATACTGAAAGAGGCAGCTGAAGCATTGTGCAGCCCACTTGCCATAATATTTAATTCTTCTCTAGAAGCGAGAGAACTTCCTGACTGCTGGAAAATATCCCAAGTATTCCCTGCAAGTTGCTAGAGAGACTGATCATAAGCAGGCTAGTAGACTATTTAGAACAGATAAACTTTGTCTCAAGGCACCAGCACATATTTAGTAAAGGGAAATCCTGCTCGACAAACTTGCTGGAGTTCTATAACAAGATAACAGAAATCAAACAAAAGATAGAAGGATGGGCAGACTGCACGTTCCTCGACTTTCAGAAAGCATTTGATCAGGTCCCACACAAAAGACGCACACTCAAACTAGAGAAGCAGGCCGATGTATTGGGAAGAGTCCTAAGGTGGGTCAGAGAGTATCTCTCAGGAGGGAAGCAAAGGGTTACAGTGAGAGCAGAGAGATCAGAGTGGAGCGAGGTTATGAGTGGAGCCCCACAAGGGTCGGATCTAGGTCCCGTACTGTTTCTGACATATGTCATCGACCTGGTAGAGAAAATTGGCTCCTTCATATCAATGTTTGCAGATGATGCAATACTGATAAGAGTCAAGTCAGGGTTAGATTGTGATGCATTGCAAACGGATTTGGACACATTCCAGAAGTGGTGTGAAAAATGGCTGCTAGAGTTTAACCAGCCAAATTTAAAGTTATGAGGATTGGAGCAGGAGTGCGAAGGTCAGTACAGCAATATAGAATGACGGGAAGACAGATTCTTCATTTAAAAAGGAGAAAGACCTGGGAGTGAACATAACCCCAAATCTAATACCAGAATCCCACATTAGCAGAAACAAGAGTTGCATATGACATACTTGCCAACATCCGTGTATCTTTCAGAAATCTAAAGGAATGGGCTTTCTGGGTCCAATATATAGCGAAGGTGAGACCCACACTTAAATATGCAGCCCAAACATGGAACCCTTACCTTAAAACGGTCAAGGAGAAACTAGATAAAGTCCAGAGATATGCAACAAGACTCGCTCCTGAGTTGAAGTTCTTAAGCTATGAGGAAAGACTGAGGGAACTGGAGAGTACCAAAACCCAACCAAAACTGCTCCACAGTGTTACATGTACCGGCAAGATGCACTCCTCTCCCACCTATAAAGTCATACTCCCAACTGTACATAATCTAGAAGCCTCATTGTTTTATTTAACAACGTTTCAGGAGCAGAATGAACTCAGGATTTTACGTTACGCTGGTTACAAGTTGGAAGGAGGCGGGTAAGGAGGCCAACTTGAGAGGCAAGAGGGAGCGTTTCCCGCCACAAGCAGACCAGAAGCGAGGACATTAGTTCTAACTCCTACTCTTTCAGCGGAAAATACTTCTCTCAAACTTTCGGTGTTGCTATGGGTTCCCCTCTCTCTCCTGTTCTTGCCAATCTCTATATGGAATATTTCGAGACCATTCTTCTTCCCACTATTTATACTCGTCCCTCTCCCCAGCTTCGCTATGTTGATGAAATTTTTGCTTTATGGCCTCATGACCTTAGTCTTTTCCAGCCTTTCCTCTACTCTCTTAACAATCTGACTCCTTCCATCTATTTTAAAAATGAATAGGAATCTAATTCCCTCCTTCCTTTTCTTTACGTTTATGTTCACAGCTCTGTGTCCGGGTTCTCTTTCTCTGTCTACCCCAAACCCATCCATAGTGGCATGTACATTCACTTCTTTTCCTATCATCCTCCTTCTGTTAAGAAAAGTGTTCCGTCTCTTTCTTCCTCCGCGCTCTACGCTTCAGTGACCCTCAGTTTCTTGATTCTAAATTTTTATTTTATTTACAAATCTTTCTCTCGCCTTGGTTACCTCTTACATTTGATCATCTGTGCCTATTCTCAAGCTAAACGAAATTTCTTTCATCCCAAACCTGTTTCCAGCACAAGTACCACTGTGCTCTGTCTTCCCTTCATATATAAACTCAAAAATCTCACTAATACCTTTCGTTCTCTTGACATAAAGCTCACATTTCGACAAACTAACACTGTTCGTAGTAATCTGGTTCACGCTGCTCCTCCTGCTTCTAATGTTGCTGGTGTCTACTCTATTTCCTGTTCGTCTTGTCCTCTCCAATACCTTGGGGAAACTGACCGTACACTATATGACAGACTTAAGGAACACAAGAAATGTTAATTCTGCAGACACAAACAATGCTCTCTTCCGTCAAGTTAGGCACTCTAATCATCCTATTGATTGGTCTTCTAAAATAATCTTTCTTGCCTCTACTTTTCAAAGACGCCGTCTTGTCGACGCGGCTCAGATACATAACCTTCCCAACATGAACCTGAGTCCTGGCTTTGTTGCTGTTGACTCTTCCCTTCCACACTACATACTTGAATGCTCCAACCTTTCAACAAATGTGACCTGATTTAAGCTAACCTCCTTTTCTTTTCCTTACCTTCCTCTTATTCTTACCTCTTCCCATTCTTCCTTTTTTCCATTCTTACACTCCTCCCATTCCAACCTTTCATTCTATTCTTTCCTCTCACCTTACTCTTATCTTCTCCTGGAAATTACCTTCTCTTACCTGTTCCTCATTTCCCTCTCATCTTTATCTGCCCGTTTCTTCCTCTCTCTTTTTTTCACAAGACTTGATAATGTTCCAGGAGGGTCCTGGAGGGTCCTGGAGGGTCCTGGAGGATCCAGGAGGGTCCTGGAGGATCCAGGAGGGTCCTGGAGGATCCAGGAGGGTCCTGGAGGATCCAGGAGGGTCCAGGAGGGTCCAGGAGGGTCCTGGAGGATCCAGGAGGGTCCTGGAGGATCCAGGAGGGTCCTGGAGGATCCAGGAGGGTCCTGGAGGATCCAGGAGGGTCCAGGAGGGTCCTGGAGGGTCCAGGAGGGTCCTGGAGGGTCCAGGAGGGTCCTGGAGGATCCAGGAGGGTCCAGGAGGATCCAGGAGGGTCCAGGAGGGTCCTGGAGGATCCAGGAGGGTCCTGGAGGATCCAGGAGGGTCCAGGAGGGTCCTGGAGGGTCCTGGAGGGTCCAGGAGGGTCCTGGAGGATCCAGGAGGGTCCAGGAGGATCCAGGAGGGTCCAGGAGGGTCCTGGAGGATCCAGGAGGGTCCTGGAGGATCCAGGAGGGTCCAGGAGGGTCCTGGAGGGTCCAGGAGGGTCCTGGAGGATCCAGGAGGGTCCAGGAGGATCCAGGAGGGTCCAGGAGGGTCCTGGAGGATCCAGGAGGGTCCAGGAGGGTCCTGGAGGATCCAGGAGGGTCCTGGAGGATCCAGGAGGGTCCAGGAGGGTCCTGGAGGATCCTGGAGGGTCCAGGAGGATCCAGGAGGGTCCAGGAGGGTCCTGGAGGATCCAGGAGGGTCCAGGAGGGTCCTGGAGGATCCAGGAGGGTCCAGGAGGATCCAGGAGGGTCCAGGAGGGTCCTGGAGGATCCAGGAGGGTCCTGGAGGATCCAGGAGGGTCCAGGAGGGTCCTGGAGGGTCCAGGAGGGTCCTGGAGGATCCAGGAGGGTCCAGGAGGATCCAGGAGGGTCCAGGAGGGTCCTGGAGGATCCAGGAGGGTCCAGGAGGGTCCTGGAGGATCCAGGAGGGTCCTGGAGGATCCTGGAGGGTCCAGGAGGGTCCTGGAGGATCCAGGAGGGTCCAGGAGGGTCCTGGAGGATCCAGGAGGGTCCTGGAGGATCCTGGAGGATCCAGGAGGGTCCTGGAGGATCCAGGAGGGTCCAGGAGGGTCCTGGAGGATCCAGGAGGGTCCTGGAGGATCCAGGAGGGTCCAGGAGGGTCCTGGAGGATCCAGGAGGGTCCTGGAGGGTCCTGGAGGATCCAGGAGGGTCCAGGAGGGTCCTGGAGGATCCAGGAGGGTCCTGGAGGATCCAGGAGGGTCCAGGAGGGTCCTGGAGGATCCAGGAGGGTCCAGGAGGGTCCTGGAGGATGCAGGAGGGTCCAGGAGGGTCCTGGAGGATCCAGGAGGGTCCAGGAGGGTCCTGGAGGATCCAGGAGGGTCCAGGAGGGTCCTGGAGGATGCAGGAGGGTCCAGGAGGGTCCTGGAGGATCCAGGAGGGTTCAGGAGGGTCCTGGAGGATCCAGGAGGGTTCTGGAGGATCCAGGAGGGTCCAGGAGGGTCCTGGAGGATCCAGGAGGGTCCTGGAGGGTCCTGGAGGATCCAGGAGGGTCCTGGAGGACCCAGGAGGGTCCAGGAGGGTCCTGGAGGATCCAGGAGGGTCCAGGAGGGTCCTGGAGGATCCAGGAGGGTCCTGGAGGATGCAGGAGGGTCCAGGAGGGTCCTGGAGGATCCAGGAGGGTCCAGGAGGGTCCTGGAGGATCCAGGAGGGTCCTGGAGGATGCAGGAGGGTCCAGGAGGGTCCTGGAGGATCCAGGAGGGTCCAGGAGGGTCTTGGAGGATGCAGGAGGGTCCTGGAGGATCCAGGAGGGTCCAGGAGGGTCCTGGAGGATCCAGGAGGGTCCTGGAGGATCCGGGAGGGACCGAAACGTCATCGCTTCTCCATCTTGTGATCTGCTGTTTGGTCACCACCTGAGAGGCTGTGTGCGGGGCAGACAGGAAGGGCAAGGGGGGGGGGGGTTACGGTGGGGTGTGTGTGTGTGGTGACCTGTAAGAGTGTGTGGGAGGGGTCTGGGCAGAGGGCGTACCCGGGCACCGCCGGGTATCTTATCTGGTATACTGTAAGAGCAAGAAGACTGCCAACTTGTTCATGAAGAATGTCACGAGTTTCTGTTGTTTTTGGACATTTACCTACACTAGGAGTTTTGTGCTATGGGTAGTGTGACTTGGTCGTCCTCCGAGGGATCTATAATTAACAGCAACCTACTGATAAATATCCAGGGAAAATTCACCAAGGAGCCCATTTATTTATTTATTCTACTGGTTATCGTTATCCGCGATCATGCAAAGTCTGCTGGAACTAATTTGGTGGGCGGAGAGATATCGGCGACCTGCGGTCTGCCAGCAGCCAGCTGAAGGTCGCCTCGATGAACAGATTTGTTTTTGTATTATGTGTCTCTCTCACTAGACAACCTATGACAGGTTTTCTCTACACACAATAATATATGGTTCGTAATGAAGAACTCTAGAAATCAAACAAACTGTCTTGAAAGGGATGAATGCCATATATGCCTTCACATGCCTACTTGGGGGACGTCAACCCGATGATATTAGTATATAGGCAAGACAGCAACAACTTTCTTTCACGGGAGACATCTCCCTTCACGCAGGGTGCAGTCGCACCTCCACAGATCTCCAGTATCAGCTCTTGATACTGGTAATGGCTCAAAAGGGCCACCACTTACGGGCTATTCATGCCCGTGCCACCTTTTGGGTGGCTTAATCTTTATCAGTCAAATAAATTTTTTTCAAAGCGCCTGACAATGAACAATGAACTATGGGCTCCATCACAGAACTTATCATTTCTACACACATCACCAGAGATATCCTGATAGTGAACACCGAAATAATCGACAGAAACACCGACAATAAAAGACCAGACATCGACGAAGCACTTCACATCCACCAAACTGAAGCATCAACATCCAGGTAAACGTCTGGCACACTCTGCCATCTTCACGACCCACACCCAGCATGCTGCACCAGCCTTCACTGACACTTAGCAAATGTCCCACTGATGTTAGCAGGCGAAGAGTCACAATAACGTGGCTAAAGTATGTTGACCAGACCACACACTAGAAGATGAAGGGACGACGACGTTTCGGTCCGTCCTGGACCATTCTCAAGTCGATTGTCTTGTCACAATCGACTTTAAAATGGTCCAGGACGGACCGAAACGTCGTCGTCCCTTCACCTTTTAGTGTGTGGTTTGGTCAACATCTGATGTTAGCATATGAATTCGCTTGCTCCAGCTAAATTGTATTCACTTCTACTAGTTGTATTTATTCACTTCTACTAATTGTATTCACGTCTGTGGAAATGTTAGCTAGATCAACAAAAGGCATCTCTTAGCGTCAGGTCAAAATCAAATTGTAAAAATAACTCAGGAGAGATTGTATTTCAACTTCTTTTACTAGTGAAGAAAAGCACAAGAAAAATAGAGATGATTGGTGCCAGGATCACTGAGCCCATCTCTCATATATTAAATAACTTATGTGTATACAACAGACAGGTACCAGAATATGGCAGTGCTGATAATGACTTGACAGTGGTCTATGACGGACTGAAACGTAGTCGTCTCCTCACTTTCTGGTGTGTTGTTTGGTGGACACCATTCCTTCCCTCCGTCCCATTCCATATCCTTATCCTGACCCCTTCCCAGTGCTATAAAGTCGTAATAACTTGGCGCTTTCCCCTGATAATTGAAAAAAATTGGTCATAATATTTTCAGTCAGGTTATTGTGACTCGTCGTCTGCATAATAGTGTATACACGGCTGCCGGTATATATATATATATATATATATATATATATATATATATATATATATATATATATATATATATATATATATATATATATATATATATATATATATATATATATATATATATATATATATATGTCGTACCTAGTAGCCAGAACTCACTTTTTGGCCTACTATTCAAGGCCCGATTTGCCTAATAAGCCAAGTTTCCCTGAATTAATATATTTTTTCTAATTTTTTTCTTATGAAATGATAAAGCTACCCATTTCATTATGTATGAGGTCAATTTTTTTTTATTGGAGTTAAAATTAACGTAGATATATGACCGAACCTAACCAACCCTACCTAACCTAACCTAACCTATCTTTATAGGTTAGGTTTGGTTAGGTAGCCGAAAAAGTTAGGTTAGGTTAGGTTAGGTAGGTTAGGTAGTCGAAAAACAATTAATTCAGGAAAACTTGGCTTATTAGGCAAATCGGGCCTTGAATAGTAGGCCAAAAAGTGAGTTCTGGCTACTAGGTACGACATATATATATATATATATATATATATATATATATATATATATGTCGTACCTAGTAGCCAGAACGCACTTCTCAGCCTACTATGCAAGGCCCGATTTGCCAAATAAGCCAAGTTTTCCTGAATTAATATAATTTCTCTAGTTTTTTTCTCATGAAAAGATAAAACTACCCATTTCATTATGTATGAGGTCATTTTTTTTTATTGGAGTTAAAATTAACGTAGATATATGACCAAACCTAACCAACCCTACCTAACCTAACCCAACCTATCTTTATAGGTTAGGTTCGGTTAGGTAGCCGAAAAAGTTAGGTTAGGTTAGGTTAGGTAGGTTAGGTAGTCGAAAAAGCATTAATTCATGAAAACTTGGCTTATTAGGCAAATCGGGCCTTGCATAGTAGGCTGAGAAGTGCATTCTGGCTACTAGGTACGACATATATATATATATATATATATATATATATATATATATATATATATATGTCGTACCTAATAGCCAGAACGCACTTCTCAGCCTACTATTCAAGGCCCGATTTGCCTAATAAGCCAAGTTTTCATGAATTAATGT